TTATGACACATTTGGGTTTGTCACTCCAAATAACGTGGGCACACCTTAGACAAACCATGCAGAGGAGGAGTGCTGTGATTTAAAACAAGTTTGTTCCTTTTAATCAAAAAGGAAAAAGGAAGAAAGTTTGCAGTAATGGATCATGGTTCTCCAGCTGCTAATCGTTTCCACTTCACACCCACTGATCATTATCGCCATGGAAAAAACATTCCCCTCTTAAAGGCAGATCTAAGGTTGTAGCCTTGGTAGTAATCAAGCAAAGATGACACTTAATGCTTCCCAGCTCCTTCCCTGCATATAACCTCAGTCCTTTTCCAGCACATTCATACCCAATACTGCTTTCAGATTATTCTTCTATAAAAGAAAACCAGCACTGATCTCAGAGTGGCAGGAGATGCAACTGGGTTAGAAGAACGACCAATAGCATTGCAAAGATCCTGTAACTACCAGAAGCTGAAATCACAATCCATGCAGGTGACTTTTGAAGTAAGATTTTTCAGGACATTGTATGCAGTTAGAAAACTTGACCTTGATCATTTACTCACATGCACTCTCTATTTATTAAAGTTTGGTTGAAAACAGGGACACAGCTTGTGATTCCTTGATCCTGTTGTAATTAAATCTCCTGCTGAATACTCTGCTGGACTCTCAATTAATGGTTGCATTTATAAAAGATCAACACTTCACCTTTACAAAGCTCTTTCCCATTTTCCTTCTCTTGCTTGGCTGTTAGCAGCAATCGAGTTTAAGCTAAGAGACTAATTTAAATGATTTCACTTACAAACATGAATCACAACAATGAAAAGGTCACTTAATAATAAACCTCCTTCGTTCTGAGCACTGCTAACCCTTTTTTTCCTATCCACATGCTCCTTAATGATCTGGATATTCCTATAATATACTGACAACACCTAGGAAGTACCTTACAAGTTGAAAATATGACTCTTTCTGGTCTCTTTTCTTTGAAAAAGTGATTATCAGTGAGGTCATTTCAAGTACTTAACAAAAACAGAACTGAAGCTCCTGAATTCTCACCTCCCATCAACCAAAAACACTTGCAACTCTCTCACTCCCATTCCTGACAGGGAGCTGAAGAGTTTGTTCCTTGAGTTTGAGACTTGGCTTCTCAACCAAAGCCCCAGGCAGAGCAGAAATAGGGTCTGAAATGCTGTCCATCCACTATGCTGTGCTTGGTAAGAGTTCCCTTATCAATGGGACAGCACTGACAAGAGGGATGTGGGTAAAGCTGGTTTTGGATTTGATCCGATCTTGTTCTGTTTCATCTCACAACAGAGATGTTGTTCATCAACAGAGATGTTCCCAACTGCAGTCTGAGACAGGCAACCAAAGGATTGTCCAGCTACGCAGACTTTTTTTACACATTCTACAGCAAAATGCATGTGAAGAAATCAATGTATCTGAAGGACTTTGTATTACAGAGCCCCTTTTCCACAGAATATCTGCAGCTGCCCCAAAGACTATGTAAAGCATGACCCATGTAATTACACACTTGGAAGAAAACGACTCATGAGAACAGCAGCAACAGAAATCAGATACACTCAATCCAGCCAAGTGACAGTTGCTTTTTGTAACCATGACCTGTGCTAGTGAAAAGCTGGGAGATAAAGCTCATTCTCTGTTAAAACCCTCCCAGTGCTATAATGAGCACGGGTCTAGAGACCATCCCTGCATTAGTCAAGCTTGTACCACAAAGTTTAAGACCACTGCTACAATATGGAGAACTTGAACCCTCATCATCACAATTATGTGAACCACAGGAGACCTCATCCATGACTTCCCCACTCCCCTATCCCACTTCTTCAGAACATCACTGCTAGCAGCAAGATAGCCGCTCCTGTCAGTACCCCATGGAGATACCTGAGGAAGGAGGAAGAGGAACAGCTTTATTTCAAATTCATATCACAATATTAAGCCACAGACTCTGCAAAGTAACACTGCCTTTTATGAAGGCAATTATGTGTTGACAACGGGATAGCTGCTTGACCTACAGCCTGTTTAAACACCAGCATTAACGGTATCAACACCGCGGTGAACCTTCCCTGTGCTATATTGAGGAACACTTTGCTTCCCTATCTCTCCTGGCACGAGCTCCTCTGCCCCATGACTGTGCTGTTGTGAGCTGCACCAAGCTCAGGGGCCAGGACTGCTCCTTAAACAGCGTTAAGGGCAGGTAACGAACAGCTCTGGGTGAGAGATATGATGCTCCTGGGGGGACCAACTGAACAAGCCAGGGGCCAGCGGTTTGCAGAGGAAAGGCTGAGCTCTTGTCCCAGCCCAAACCTGCAGCACCATAACGCTCAACTCCAGTTTGTGCAACCTCATTAACCAGGGAACAATCAGACTTAAATGGGACAAGACACATACAAACACAAAACCACCATACTTATTACATGTTTTCCACCTTATCTCTTTATCTTTACACTTACAAAGGGCTCACAAGCTCTGCAGAAGCAGGACAGCTGATATTTATAGAAGAAGTGAAGTCCAAGCAGCCAAAAGAACATACCAAGGATGCAGCAGGTGGGCTTCCCTCTATTTACATACATTGGCTCAAATAATCCAAGAATCTCCATCCCTTCTATTAGTGCCTATGTGGAAGTACCATCTTTTCCATTACCCGCAAAACCTTGATCTCAAGCACAGCAGACATCTCAGGTTCCCAAAACACTTTTCATAATTGTAAGGTATTCATCTGGGCAACCTAGTAATTACCAGATAGGATAAAACATGCTCTAGCTCTCTAATTGCCTTCCAGGAATTGAACTGGAGATATCTTTTTTTTACTTTCTCTTCCCAAAAGGAGCTCAGCAATGCTGCTGATAACTGCTAGTGGAGCTTTGAGAATGAAGCTCATGCAAGCTTTAACAAAAATAATAAACAAAATTAAGTAATCTTTAACCTATTGGCTTCAAAGACAAAGAGCACAAAGGATGCAATGCAAAGATGTCAAGAACAAATCAGTGAAATTTAGGGAGAGTAGACTAATTCAGGGATCCCCTGACATGTTTGTATTGCCTCCTAGTTCCAGTTGTTTACAGAGATGAAATTCCTCATGGAGAATTTCACAGCATATGGCTCTTAGGTATCTGACAACAAGCTCAAGGAGCCTACACCAGGAAAACAAAGTTGACATCACTTTGAAGAAGGAACCTGATGAGGTTTGTTAAGCACCTATCAATGGCCAGGCTGCAAGGCTGTTGTGTCTGCCTTTTGAAAAATAAAATACCAGGACCTGCTGCTCACACCCAACAACTCTCTGATGAGCTGAGATGTCAATTAATAACACATGGAAAGAAAAACTGATCTTAAAATGCACAAAGCATTTATACTGAGAGCAAACAGGAAGATTACATCCTGACTTTTCAAGGTCTTTGAGTTTCTATTTTGCCCTCTGCCTTCCTTAAGCTACCAAACTCTGTTTTGAAAGGGAGCTGATTCGCAGATACACCTGGCCAGGGGAGGAGGAGAAAGAGAGGAAAGGGGAGTCACCAATGTATTAATAATGCCATCACCAACTTATTTGCATTGCAACAAAATACTACACCGAGTGCCATATAATCATTATTTCACACTGGGCATTGACCTCAGCCCAGTCCTCCTCACTATCAGGTGGGGATGAGGACTTTTAAGTGTACCACTCCAGTATTACACATTAAATACAAACCCACACAAAACAGTGGGAAAATAAACTAATCCAGAAGATAAGACTAGGAAAACAAAGACTCCAGATTAGTTAAGTCATATGCTGTTCAAATGATATAAGGATAATTTTGTCCTGCCTTCTACCACTCATGTGCTTCTACCATGGCATTTATATCATATATTTGTACACAGGACACATTAAAAGGAAATAAAACTTAAAGTTTCTTCAATGTCAAGATGCATTCAGTAGGCTTGCGACTGAAAAAATTCAAGCAAGATTTAGTTGCAAAATATAGGATATGGTGGTGAAGAGCCATTCTCCCAAAAGCAGGTCACACTACACAGTGTTTTAATGTTGCTCCAAGCACAGAACACAGTAGTGTAAGTAGAGAATAAATTCCAGTGCAAACTTCCACCTGGTAATTAAAAGTAGGCAAGGTTTAAAAGCTTCCATAGCACTGAAGGTCAATATGATCCGTTATTTACAACACACGCTTTCCAAGATACCACCAGTCCTGATCATTTCCTCCTTCCTTCCCCTTAGAAGCCACAATTGCAAGCAATTTTCCCTCCAAATTTTCCACCCCTGCATCCAGCTCTACCCTCATTACACACAAGGTCTGCGGGCAGGACCATAAGCACAGGACGGCTTCCTCAGCTAAGCCTGTTCTGAGCATGGCAATATGGAAAGCAAACGGTTACAAACCTGGCTGGCAGCTTTGGCACAGATTTAACACACATGCAACACACCCCCACAAATCTAGGTCTAATTTGACAGTCCCCATGTTCTGCAACAAAGCTGCTATTCAAGAGCGAGAGGAAGCTTGTTCTTTATTAATGCAGCCATCGAGGTTACGAGCTTCCAGGAGGCTGACGTAAACCAGACCCTGCTGCAGCAGCCACAGCACAGCTGAGCCCGTCACCGCTTCCAGTTCCTCCCTGCCACGTTGAAAACTCCAACCAGGAAAATATTATCACAGTGGGCAAGCGGTGCGCACCAGGATGCCCTGTTTTCCACACAAGCAATTTCTTCTTACCACCTCTCAACACCATCAACTCACAAGAGCACAGCCATGCACTGGGGAGAAAACAAATCAAAATGGGTTTGCCTGCACGGTGACAGCAATACATGTCTCAGAACTTTATAACTGTCTATTGGAAAGACAGAGGATCTCTGGGACTTACCTGAGTGTTACCACTGAGCATTTGCAACTGAATTAATACAAATAATGTCTTTGGGAGCAAAGAGAAAAAGAGCAGCATCCCCAGAAAGGGTGGTGGGAAGCATTTTGTGTGGCTAGGAGGAAAGGAAAAAACGCTTAAGATTTTGTACTCACATATAATGGAGCTTGCTGTGGATTAAGTTTCATGACCTCTGAACACTGAAACAGAACAGAAAAGACAAGTTAACAATATTTTCCATAAAATTTTAGGTACTGCATAAGCTGCTTTAGCACCGTACATCACTTCTCCAACAGTCACTTTTACACAATGATCTTCTGTTTTCTCTCTTTGTAGATCTGTCAATGATATTTACTTATTTATGCTCACATTAAGCAAAGCCAACTCCAAAATGATTGGGAGAGCAAAGCACTCATCTGAGCTGTCAGCTATGTTGGTACTAAGAATATCCCAGGTGAAATTTGCTTCCCCATCACAGCCATCTCAGTTCATGTTTCCTCCTAGCAACCCTCACTTCCTGTCTTCTGTTTATGACAATAAGCAATCCTCAACTGCTACCTGCCCACCAATTCCCACATAGCCACCCAAAAAACTGCTTGTAAAGATCTGTGGTTCACTCCACTGCTGGGGAAGACCAATTATTACACTGCCCAAGTAACTTGGTGCCATTTCCCTCCCCCTTCCACTGGATTGTTCAAGAGGCATTTTTAAAGTACATAAAAATCAAACTGTCAAAAATGCTCCTTGCAAAACTGAGAGAAAACTTCCAGAAAAGATGATGCTCCTGATTCCGCAGTGGCATTTTTCACAGTCAAAAACTAACTAACACTTGTCCTACCAAGGTGATTTTAATTAAGAAGCTTTCCCCTGCTCAGTCTGCCCCTGGAATTTCCATGTAACTTGGTGAAAGTTATTTGCATTGAGCTTGGAATCATTTGAACCAGAATTTCACTTGCATTAATTTCTCCATTCCAACAGAAAAGCTGTATGTTTTCATTTAATGTGTGTATTAAGAGGTCCAGGATCCTAAGATGAAGGAATGCAAAACAATTAAAAATGGAATTTCTGCTGTTGCTCATGTCTGCAGTACTGGTAATGCTCTGCAAGTACTTCAAACCCTTTTTAAAAGGGATGAAATACCACTATGCTTCTCATACAAAAAACACAGGGTCTGGTTCATACTTCGTTCCTTTCCAGATCCCACAGTTTGCCTTTAGTGAGACAGAAATTAAACCACAGCCTAAGTTTTCTTAGCTGATTCCAGCTATCCCTGCTCCCTCACACGCTCGCCTTACTTTACAAAGAAGCGTTTTGGCACTGCTTGGTTTAAAATGCCTGAGCTACCTGCCAAGCCTGCTCATCAAAACACAGGCCTGCTGCAAAAGGTCCTCTGAGACAGCCAAGAGACAAATATTCCAGTCCTACTGAGGGCTCAGAGCGAAAAGAAGAAACAAAGCCAAAGGATTCACAAGCCCTGCCAACCTCCTTCATGACCTATCTGAGCCTCTCTGCCCCATTCTGAATCTGGACATCTCAAACAGGGTACCAAAATGTTGTAAGAGTGTTTATTGTACCTTATGGAACCATGGTTGGAAAAACTCCCTTTTAAGCCCACTTCACATCTGGATTTTAACAAAGGCTCAGTGCAATTGAGCAGTTCTCTCAGGAAGCAAAATTAAGAGTTGTAGTCTAACATGGCAATTTGGTAGTATGTGGATATGACTTTTAAGCAGCACAATCAGGATCAAAACAGTTCTGTCTCAGATGCTAATGTTTAAAGGGAGCTAATATAAAGCATCGTCTTCTCGCCACATCTTTTGAAGTCTTGACAAGTAACTGAAGCACTTTTCTTTTTGCTGATAAAAGATACACCATGATATACCTTCAAAGAAAAAGGAATCTATACTTTTGCATTTACATCAGCTACTAAGATTACTCCTTATCCCCAAAATCCAGCCATCATTCTACACAAACAATATTACTACTGACCTTCTACAGGATAAGAAGCAAGTTAAAGGATATCATGTTAGAAAAATGAATCAGAAAACCAGAACATGACAGGTTTGCATTTGCCCAAGACATCACAGACAATACATATTATTTACTCCAAGTATCTCTCTACTCCCAAGTAATTTAATTTTATCACCTATTTCAGTTTCTCAGGAGCTTTTTCTGAGGAAAGGAAGTTATTCTAATGTATCCAAATACATTCTTCCCTTCTTTATTTAATAGCTTTACATCTTCCCTATCACAGTTCACAGGTATCTTATTGTTACCCTTGCCACTACACACAATAACTTATGTGACCTGAAAGCAAATTACATCTCTGTTCACTCACCTAGGGAGCTCACCCCTGGGTTTCAACCACAGCTGTTTGCTTGGCTTTGGCAAACTCACAGGGCACCAGCCAGCTTCTCACCCTCCATAGGGTGTTCTCACCACTGCCTCATCCCTCCTGCTCCACTTTGTTAGCTCTAAGTTATCAAGCCAGTGCTTTCTAAACAGTCCCATCCAAAGCCTCGTGAAATAAAGAGGAAGGTCAGAAGTGCAAGCCTACCCTTTTCAGCAAAGCCACAGAGGAACCTGTATTACACCACGGCTAATGCTTCATTGACACTTGGGTTGCTCTGCTGCAGGACTGATCAGCTGTGAGCCCTCTCCCTGCTTTCACAAATCTTGTACAAGATGCCATCATAGCATCTGCCACCAACACCCATCACACCTTCATAAAAAGGAGAAACCACAGTTGACGTGCTCCATCACAAGGTCTAGACTGCCAGATTTACCCAAAGTGATAAGCTTTTAAGTTACACGTTACATTAGGTACAATTTAGCTTGAAGTCCCAACATGCAGACACTGCCCATGCTCCTTTGATGCTATTTTTCATCATCCTTTTTTATGAAGCAGACAATGAGTGGTAGTAAGCATGTTCATTAAGACTAGTGGTGGAAACTAGTAAAAAACTAGTAGAAACTAGTCCAGCTCAAACAGGCTGCACTGAAGGTATTAACAATCTGTACAGAACATCAGCATGCCCTCCACAGAGCATTTAGGTTCCTGTAATTCAAGGAATAAAGTGAAATGGCATCCTCTGATCTTTGCCATCCAACAGAAGAGCAGGCCATTGTGTCCCGGTCCATCAACATCCTGGGAGATGCCTGATAACAGCCAAGTAGAGAAAGGAATGAGAAAGGAGAAAGACATGTACAGATCAGGAAAGGATGGGTTGACAATGAAATCTTCCACTTGTAGCCTGTTTCTGTAATAGCAGAGTTAGTTTTGGCTGTAATGACAGTGACACAACTCACAGAGTCCAAAAGAACAAAACACCTGACTGAAACCAGGACAGCAAGGATGGGAGAATACTGACGCTTCTCATCAAGGAAAATCAGAGGAGGCCTATGAGTTCAACTGAATGACCACTTTTTGTTGGGTTTCTTTGGCAAGAGAAGTACACAACAGCAGCAAAATAAAGCACCACTGCTGAACACCTGGTCTTGCCAAGAAAACTAAAATCCTTCTTTCTTTTTTACCCATCTTACCAGTTGACCCTTACATCATTATTTGAAATGATCTCTCATTTCACAACGCACATGTCAGCCCAATTTTTCAAAGGATGCAAACTGAGTTTGCGAGGAGACAGGCAGGTTTGGAAGATATTTTATCATCTTGTTAGGAAACGCTTTGGCAAAAACATGAGAAAAAAAACGAGTGTCGGATAAGCCTGAATGACTACACTGCGTCAGCAAAGGACTAAATTTAGGCTTCTAGACATGTGAACTTCTCCAGCCAGTGGGTGGGCAGGGAGCAGCTTCAAAATTCATTGCAGTAAGAAAAGGGGAAAAAAAAAAGAAAGACCACATTATATTGGTAATAATCAAACCAAGATGCATAAGGACCGCAATATAGTGGATTAGTAAGTTGGAGTCCTGTAAGTGTTAAAATTAGGGAAGAACAAAAAAGGGGGTGGAAGGGATAGGGAGGCCAAACTGTGTTTTCCCCTATATTAGAGTAACACATCCTTCAAGCTGATGCTTGTTCTGAGCCCTATAAAGCAATTTCCATCTTTTAGGGAAGGCAGCACTTGCTCTATCAGGTATCCTACATGGCCGGGAGGGAGAATACCAGGCCCTACCATGACATCAGGATCTGGACTGCACATGAACTGCCCTGAAAGCTGAGCTAACAGGAATAGGCAAATACAAATCCCACTACCCCTCTCCAGCACAAAGAGTCATGCTATGGGAATCCTCACGGCAGCCAGCAGGTTCTGCTCCAGAAGTAGCCGCTTGTACTTAAAACATTCATATATTTCTTGTAAATAGCTGAATCTTTTGAACTTCAGTGCCTGGGAGGTTTATCACATGCTCTGCAGCCATGCAGACACTTGCCTTGCAATGTTTCTGGAATGGTACTAGAATTTCCCCCTTAGGATAACAAAGTGAAATCCCCTGCGTTTGCAAATTTGAAAGCAGGACACAAAATGAAAGTCCAGGGTCAAGTTCCCAAAAGCAACAGTGGTTTTAGACATTACAAAGATCTGCATAGGTCAGTAAAATCAAAAGCTACTGAAGCCTTCTCAAAACGGGAAGGATACCTTTCTGCTCTGTTAAGCATTAAAGAATTAATACAGTGAGTCACTTGTAGAGTATTCAAGTCACTTGTAGAGAACTTAAGTGTTATTTTGCATAAAATTCCATGGAAGAGGACAAAATGACTATGCTTGATTTCTACAGGTAACATCTGACAAGGAAAGAAAGGAAAGAAACAAACACCCAATATTTATTTGCTTTACTGTGGTTCCCAAACCCTCAGCCAGGATTAGGGCTCCATTGGTTGCGTGCTGTAAAAACGTCAATGCCAACAGTTTCTGCCCTGAAGAGTTCACAAATAAGCACAGGCAGTGGGGATACAAACACCAAGTGCCTAAACAATAAATCCTCTTCATCCACTACTCCCAACTACCATTTCATTTAACCATAATCAGTTGGCTTATTTCTTTCAGGCATCTCAGGCAAAGCACACATCTTGAGGACAAACCTGAAAGTAAGACCAATGGTCCTTTAGATCAACCCACTCCACATACAAGCAGTAACGCTGGAGATCTTCAAACACCACAGAGCTGACAAATGGTGAAGCCCAGCTTCCTTATGCTCCCCAGCATCCATTCCTGGCTGCTTGGCTCCACAAGCCATACAA